CTGTGTCATTCCTCTCCATTGGCCTAATGAACCTTGGACTATCCCATGTAAAGGAGAACATGGAGAAGAGTTTGAAAGCATTTTGTAGCCTTGCAGCTATTAACCTGAAGGAAGGAAGTATACATTCAGGCAGAAGAAGGAACTGAACCCATTTATCCTCCAAAGCAAAATCATCCACGTTACCAAGGTCTCTGAAGGACAAGAGAAGGAATGAGTAATTCTCATTTGCTCCAATTTGCTCCAAATGAACAAAAGTCCTCCAAAAGAGGACTCCTTGCTTCAGTGTTTCCTGACATTCAGCTAGCTTTTAAGGATCCTGTACTTTAGTACCTGAATTTTCACAAGAACTGTGTAATAGCTGTGATTCCATTCGGCGGCAAGCTAAATGTTACAGCATTTGATGCCACAGCATCTGGCTTCTTTGATGGAACTGTGTTTACAATCTGATGGAGCGATTTCAGTGCAGCATGAAAGCCTTCCTTAACTTTAATGATAAACTCATATTTCTCGTTCAACAGAACACTTTTACAGTTCACAGAATTAAAAAACTGGGAATGTAGAGGAATAACTTTAATATATTTTTCCTAGACTAAAGAATCTAAAAATATAAACGTGAACTCGGTGTCTACAAGTACCAAGAACGATTGGTAAAAATGCTCAGAAAGATGAGAGATGTAAAGAAAGACCAATATTTAATCATCATTAAATGACAGACCCATATTACTGAGAAATGAATATAAGTGACAGCTTAATCTCTTTACCGAAAAATGAAAGCCACTGCCACATGGTGAGCTGCACATCTGAGGGCAGTTCTGCTTATTTCTCTACTTGTCATGATTAGTCTTGCAGTCTGGTGGTTGGGACAAGTGAATCCCTGAATCTCTAGATACGATGAGCTAAATTCACCAGGGTTGGCAAAAGTAGGCAGAAGATATATAATAAGGTATATAATAAGAAGATATTAAAGTGATGTGGAACTAGAGAAGACTGAGAAAGGTTTTCTCTGTATTAGCTGTCAGGCAAAGTGAAAATGCAGGTGACTTCCACTGGCAGGACAGGCAGTCTTTAAGGAAAGATACTTGAAGAAAGTATAATGAGCTGAATGGTACAGTCCGGAGTTGAAAAGGACTTCGTGCCTTTGCTTTTTTAGAAGTAGGTTAGGAGTCCTGGTGAGAAGGGGGCAAAGTTTCCACTTACCCCATCTACTGAGCTTGTTTAATGGCATAATACAATTTGGAAGCATTCACAGAGCTCAGAAAAATCTTACATTACGTTACTTAGTATCTTCCTCCTCCCTTCTTCCCGGCGTGAACAGTGAATGAATAAACGATATTGGGAGGCTGGCTGGTTGACACGCACAAGCAGCTTTTGAAGAATCTACTTCAGCAAACTGAGACACTGGCGAGATCTGAGGCCAGCTGAGGCAACATCCTGTCACAAACTACTTCAGCAATATTTTTTTAGTAACTTCCAAATTTAGAGCACCCATTCCTGCCAACGGCATACGAGTATGTTCACAACCACAAACGCAGCACACAGATAACCTTACACTAAGGCCTATACTTATTGTCCCAGTTCCCTGAAGTGATGACCTGGCTTAAATTCCTCTGGGGACCGAGCGGACCAGTGGCCTTACTGTCCTGAACATAGCGTGTAACTGCTAGAGCGGATTTAATTTCAGGAGCACCGAGCTCCTCGCCGATGCCGTCTCCGCGCCACGGGACGGAGGGGCTCGGGCCCGGCAGGGCGAGCGCTC